TGATTCTTAAACAATGCCAAAACAAAAATATCAGTTCGTTTTGTTTAGAATAGATTTGTTTACCTCTGCGCACGTACTATGCCTTCATTTAATGCGTGATTTTCCATTAGAACTGAAATGTATTTGAGAGTGATTTGCACTGCGGTGATATGCAGATTTAGTTTAATATTTAAACATGAAAGAAATTTATAAGTTTAACTGATAATTATGATTCGTGGTGAAACTGCGCTCTAGCAGGTTTTTCAGTATGAATTATAGGGCATTTTCTCCCTCCTTCCAGCATGCCCAAACTGTTTTTCTAAACAATTGCTGTGCAATTCTGGTAAAATTTGCCTTAATATGTATATATACAAACAGAGATTTGCATTAATTAATATATATATATATATATAGATAGATAGATAGATAGATAGATAGATAGATAGATATAGATATGTATATAGATATATAGATATATTTGCATTTATATATATAATTATTTGCATCAATATATATATATATAAAGGTAGATATGTAGATCTAAAATATCTATTTATATATACAGTGATACGACCTTAATCCGTTCAGGATTCTCTGCTGTATAACAAATGATGTTCCCCAGCAAGAAATGGAGGGAAAATAATTAATCTTTTCCTATCAAAAATGCTATTATTATTATAACACTATTTAATGCTGCGTTACAAATACAGCAGGTGAAACATATACTGTACATAAACGAAGCATTGCACATGGTGATGTACACTGCACTAAAAAAAAAAAAAAGTGTGGGGGGGAGAGTTTTATACCTCCCGTTCTACTGGGCCGATTGACAAATTTCAAATTGCGTTTTTCATTCTCGAAAGCGCGACTAGGATAAATATTAGATTTATATATAGCAATGATCTAATACAGGTATTTTGACACTGAATCTGACTTTTCTGAAGTAACTTGCCACTTTTTCCCATATTTCGATTCTACGATTTAAATTATGCCAAACTCCCAAGTTTTATAATAAAGCGTCCAACTATTGTTTAAACAATTAGCTCTCAAAATTTTACCTCCTTAATGATAATTGAATTTGGTATAGATTTATTAATAATTCTGCTTTTATTAAACTTATTTGATTCTTCCTTTCAAATTCCAAATAAAATTCGCCCATTTGTTTATGATTTACTTTTAAAATTTGTATCTGTAAATAATGCTAATAATTTTTTGAAAACTATAAATCTTTTTTCCGTCATCATAAAGTAAATGTATTTCTAAGCATAACTGCAAACAAATAGAGTTTTTTATTCAGTATTTCCTAAGATATACGTGAATTTACATTTTAGCGCGTTTTGAAATTTAGCATATTCGTTATAAGCAATAATAACGTCAAATGCGGTTTGCGCACTTTGTTAAAACTATTTGAAAGTTATGAACGATGACCATCTTTTCTGCTCGTGTACAATGAAAAAACGAAAAGGAAAATAGGTTGCTATAAATTAAGAAGTTCGCCAAGTAAATTATTCTTGGCGCAAACTGAAAAAATGCGCCAAGACCAATTTTTAAATTTCTCCGTAAATGTCTCACCAAAAATTACAAAATTTAATATCTAAGCATTATTTGATGGTAAAATTGAAATATGCAAAAAACAAAATTGGTATGTTATTTCAGAAAACGTCCGATTTCATGTCAAAATACCTAGGTTAGATTTATGCTATATATAAATCTAATATATATCCTAAGTTGCGCTTTCGAGACATGAAAAACGGAATTTGAATTTTGTTAATCGGCCCAGTAGAACGGGAGGTAAAGAAACTGTCCCCCTTTTTTTGTGACTGTGCAGTGGACATAAAAGTGTTCCTGCTGTCTAAATCAAAAGCAATTTTTTTAACATGTTCTAACGGCTCTGGCCTTTATTTGGCAAATCTATTTCAACCCCATTGTAACTTCAGCCGATTTAATAATGTTTTTTTTTTTTTTTTTTTTTTTTTTTTTTTTTTTTTTTTTTTTTTTCATTCGTCGACATCATCGTACTCGCGATACGGTATGCAATACCTATGTTCTGGATACGCGTGCCGTGTTCGTACTTTGCATTATTCCATTTTTTTCACTTGGTGAGCCTAATAATTTTCTTTATTGCTTGAATTTTCTCTTTAACTTTCTTGGAGCTCATCGTTAATAGTTTTACAAAAGATTTACCAGAAAAAACCAACACAAAAGTACTTGTATTCAGGGTTTCAATGTGGGTTTATTACTGAATAATAGAATTAGACGTACTGACACTCACTGGCAGTCGTAGCATTGTCTCGAAAGAGATAAACAAGTGTAAAGTGTAATTCGCTCAGTCAGGACGCATCGAACCTGAATTGTATTTCAAACATCTTTCGTATACCAAACGAAAATTCTTTCATTAAAAAAGAACGTATATCAAGTTGTACGGGTTTCAAAGCGGACCTGTATCGAGGTACGCTGTATTTTAAAGCAAATTGTTTACAATCTAACTGAAAATAAGTTTTCATGTAAGAAGCGATCTGTCACGGGAGAAACGTACGAAGCTTAATTATTTACACTGTAATTATGGATTACAGACACTGAGTTTTTGAAATTTATCAGACCACTTCATTAAAAGATGCCAGCAGACCACTTCATTAAAAAGCTGTCAGCTGACCTGTGATAAAAGATGCCAGTATGCCACTTCTCTAAGGAGCGAGAGGCCCGTCCTTCTTCTACCTGCCGAAGTCGCATAGATGCCGCTTTTACAGTTCTCCTTAATCATCCTGCAGTAGCAACGTAGCCGTCCGATTTTACTGTGCCTTCTTCCTTGATGCTATTAAGTTTCGTCCAGGTTTCCAGCAGATCCTGTAGTTTTCCGGCAAAACTCCGGAGGTGGATTTTATGTGATACTACTTGGACAGGCAGCCATTTTCTTCACGGATCTTCCCAGCTATTCTAACGCTGCATATTTTCATGGTATATAAATATTATTTTGACGCAACGGTCAAAATAAATGCGTATATAAATATAACTACCTAAGATATTTTATACTAGCAGATGGTTTTGTGTAGGGAATATTATGGAGATTATTTCCGTAAAACAATATTTGCCTTCAACAATCATTTTGTTTATAATAATTAATCTCATACTTTACGCAAAATTTAAGCAAAATTTTCGACCTTGTATTTTTCTGAAAATAATAAACGAAATAATTGCCGTCTTTATAAGTGATCTATTATTAGTCAAGGTCACCGTTTATCAGAACATTACATCAGTCACGTGTCTATATTTGTGTTGGGAAGGGAGGGAAAGCAGGTGTTGCGTTGACGCAACGTCAGCAGGAAACGGGTAGTCAATCTCCTTTTTCACTCATTCCTTTCGATGTTCTGATTCATGTTCTGGTTGTTTAAAAATGCCTAGAACGAGGTATCTTACATTAGAAGTAGCCCTTCAAAGATTTTTCGATGAAGAAACGGATGATGATAATGTTAATAATGATTAGATAAAAACTGATATTATTGTTGTTCCCCCAGAAATTGCAGAGGCTAGTGACAAAGAAGAAAGGAATAGCAATTTTTTAAATAATGATAATGATGTTTTACCAAATGATACTGGTGGGGAAGTTGAAATTCACGTAAGAAGTAAGTTTCAGCCTTCTAAAAGCAGTTATAGTCAAAGCAGAAGACTGAAATCTTGAAGTGGATAAAAAAGGAACTGTTAGTTATGTCTTAGGAAAAACATGAAGAAAGAGATAGAAGAGAAATTATAAAAGACAAAACACAAGGTAAAACTAGTGCACAGATTTTTGATTTTCTTTTTGGTTTAGATATTTACTCTCTTCTCGTTGAATAGACAAATATATAAGCTCAGAAGAAGAAGAAAAAAAAAAAAAGAGAAAGAAAGAAGAAATAAAAAAAAAAAGCCCAGAATTTATTGCGTCTGAAGCCTATATGAGAAGATTTATTGGAATATTATTGCTTACAGGATATCATTCTTTATTCTTTACCTCAAGAAAAAATGTATTGGTCTCTTGATAAAGGATATTTCTGTTCCTATTGTACGAGAATTGATATCATGTATGCAAGTACAGGAATATGAAGCAGAATTTGCATTTAGCTGACAATTAGTCAAATTGAAAGTACTGATAAATTATATAAGGTGAGACCATATCTAAACTTACTAAGATCTCATAGACTTTCTATTACTGGAAATAAAAAGTCTCTTTTAGATTTCGAAATGCGAGATTGCATTATTCCTTTTGTAAACTCCTATTGAGAGTGTAGAATTAGCCAGAAATATATCAACAACTAGTAAATTCAGCATTCAAAAACCATTGCATGGAGATGGTAGACATTTTATCGTAAAGTCCGTTGATAACAAAAGACTTTGTTGTAAATCGTACCATAGCCAGACTATTTATAGATGCAAAGTATGTAATGTAGCTTTACATCATGATCGTAATCAAGCTTTTCATGCTTGAATCTTTAAAATGAAATAATCTGCATTTGTAAAAGAAAACAAGGTATATTTTAATATTAAATTAATTACAAGTAAAGTGATTTTTAGATTTATAAAACGTTATATAGCTAAAGTAATCCTGCGCTCCACTCAAAAGAAAACATCACACGAGTACAATCAAAACCTCGACATACAATCCTAATCACTAAACATCCGTATCTTATCCGCGGACGTTGCGCGAACGTAACCTCACTTTTTCCACAAGTAAGAGCATTTTTTTTTTCATTTTCAATGTAAATTTATGTTATAAATGCTTAATTTAATATTTGTTATAATTTTAATGAGAAAAGAAACATTCCTTGTAGTTTTGGCGGTTAATGGGTTAATAATTAAAGTATTTAAAAGAATAGAAAGTGGTTAGAATTGATTTAATTTGGGTTATGGAAAGAGAGATTTTGAAAAATCACAGATTTAATAATGGTAAGCAGATTTTAGCGCTTTTACAGTGAACTTACAGAAAGATGAAGATATTTACAAATACTATATTAAAAATGAAACTTAAACAGATAATGAAACAGACTATATAAAAGCAATTGAACAATTTAATAGATAATACTAAACTTTTTTAAAAACAACATATTTTAAAGGAAATTTACTCAATTGTTGGCACAATATTTTTCAGCAGATTAGCCATATTCATAAAAATCTCATAAAAGAAACATGGAGTCTTACAAAGGTTCTGTTTTAAACATCATCATATTATTAAAGGAGGAATGTAAAACCTGTTTCCTTAAATTCTACTACTGCTGAGAATTTTTCTTTTCATATTTATCTGGAATTAAAGGAGCCTTTAATCGTTTTTTGCAAGTTAGTATGGCATCTCGAGCTCCATTCCATTTATGTGGCCCTCGTAGTCGGTATTGGTATGGAACGCTTGGTCCCCAAATAAGCTTCCAAAACAATTTGATGTCAGTAAAAAATAATTTAGCAAAATTAGGATTTACACCAAACTGCGATGCTATGTCATCCAAATACTGCAAATAATCAACTCTTAAAGTCATTTTGTCACTAGAGCAAAATCTTTTCTCATTCGCTTCAAACTGTTTTTTAATATCTTTTAACATCTTTCTTGAAGATGGTAAATGTCCTTTTCCGGCAAAGATATGAGCTGCCCATCGGCATTGTATTTCAGCGAGTGGAAACAAAGCTCCATAAGGCAACAGGAATCCAATTATTGCCAGAGTGGGATGTTTTAATTGGGGAGGATACATTACCTTATATAAGTTAATTCTTCCATTTTTTTCTTGTTTGACTATTCCATCCTCTAGGAATGGGAAATTCCATGTGTAGCCTGTGGCCATAATTATAGAGTCGATTTCCGTTTCTTCATTGCTTCCTTCAAAAATGACGCCATTCTCTGTAAGCCGTTCAATTCTTTTCTTTTGGACTACAGATCCAGATAGCAGTTTAGAACAAATGTGATCACTCACTACTGGATCTTTGCTTAAAACATGGTACTTTGGAGGTACATTGTAGAGCTTATGATTAAATCTCGGTTCAATATAGAATTTTTCGAAGTACCAGTTGCATATTTGTATAGGCATTTTATCCAACCAAGTAACAAGGTAACGTCGAAAAAGTTTGTAGTCTATTGGATAACCTCCAGGCCCCAGCCTATGAATTACGTAAGCTCCAGTCCTCGTGCTCAAATAGACCTTTGGAAATAAAGAAGAAATATTCATAAGATATTCTAATGAAATAAAGGGAAAGAATTAAGAAAAGTAATTAACCTTTTTTTTAAAGAAAATATTATATTTGACACTTTTTTGTTAAGGAGTCTTTGCCAAATATATAAAGAATATACAATTTGAAGAAGTCGAAAAAAAATCTTGTTGTATAAAATGATTATGTTATGCTCAAAGCTACACTAATTTAAAATGATGATTCTTTGTATGCATCTTTTTCTTCAAGAATATTGCAGTATCGGATTTTTATATTGTTATCATTACCGTTCTTTAGAATATCATTTCTGATATTCCAAAGAAAAAATTCGAAATGTACGTCATGTTCACAAACACGTCTGCACTTGTCTTTTATTTTCGAAACCGTAGGTTGAAGACGTATACTTCCAAATAAAATATAATTTAATGATGTAAATGTTCATGCTTTAAAAGTTTTAAATTTAAAAAAATTGAATTTATAAAAAACTGCAAAATCTAATTTTTCATAGATTCCTTATCCTATTATTATCTACATTTAGAAGACTTTCATACTCATTATGAAAAATAAAAGATAAAATATGACTCTCGTGTGAGAATATTTGACTGATCTGATCTCTTTAATTTCAAGATTTGATATATTTAATGTCATTTTCAACTTGCTTTGATGGATCAGTTGGTACATAAATTAAGATAATTCCTTTTTATTATAAATGTCAAAGGGCTTTTTTTCTTTTCTTTGGCTTCGTTTCGGGGTTTACTCATGTAATATTTTAATTTACATAATTTTTTTTTAATTACTATTGTAATATATATTAAGTAATATTCTTTATAATTTTATTACAACTGATATGCCAAGAGGATTTTCCCTTAATTAGCTTATAAGTTTTCAAAGGCGTTATTAATACTCCGACGAAATTCTATTACTTAATTATATCGATATAATAATATTCAATCAACATTAGAAGCCTTTCTGAAAAAGAGATTTAATTTTTAATTGCAAATGAAATATTTCGCTCTTCGATTTTTTTACGGTTCATAAATATGATCCCTAAATTTAATTGAAATAGCTAGGTCAGTTTGTATCGTACGAGAGTCATATCTTTTGCATTTTTTTTTTCCTATAATCTGTGTAAAACTGCTGCAGATATGTGCGTGTGTATGTATCAATACGGAAAAGTTATGAAGTAGAAGTAATATATAATACTATCTTAGAAAAAAACTATAAAACGTACTAAAAGTACCTTAAATTTTATAACAAAGTAAAAATGCAATTTGTCAAGATAATTTTTTATAAATTTGTAAATTTTTTAAAATTTGTTAACATTTTTTTATTAAGTTTTTTAAAGTGAAAAATCAAATACAATTAATATTATAACTATTTATAATTTAATTATCCATATTTTAATACTCCAAATCGGTTTCTCAAGCGGTAATAATTCAAAACATTAAAACCTGAAAAATTAAAGCGCACTGAATATACATACTCTCTTATGTAGGTATAAACTTAGAGAACGGGAGAACGTATAAAAAATTAGATTTCATAATGCGTAAAAATCTGATTTTTCTTAAATTTAAAAATGCAATCGCATGAATGTTTGGGTCATTTAAAACATTTTTGTAGGGGCAAGTATAGATCTAAAATTAACGGTAGAGAAAGCAAAAGCTGGTAAATAAGATATTTACGCAAACGGAGTATATTTCAAACAAGAAAGCATAAAGATAAGCATTTCAACCTTTATCAATGAATATATTTTTAGAAGTTTGAAAGCAAATTAATTAAATTTTGAGTTTCAAAGCGGAATATATTAATGCAATTTTATGCAATTTATTATGGAATTTAAAAAAATCGGATGTGGACACTACATGACTTCCTAGTGCGATCTGTTGAATTATAAACATTTTTTGCTGCAATCCATTTAAACTTATTTCCTCGAATTTCATTAGAGATATTTTTCTCATTCAATTAATTCAATTCTCACTTCGTAGCAAGGCAAAAATACATAAAAAGTCAAAATATCTTCATTAAATTTGAAAAATATAGGAAAACATAAAAATTACAGTTAAAAACAGTTAAAAAAGTAATTTTTACAATTTAAAATTAGAGTTTCTATCTCAAAACCAGCGATTCGGCTAATGGAGCAAGAAGACATATTTTTCGGTGCAAAAAAACGGAAAGTTTAATTTCGGTCCTATTAGGCAAAAAGACACGGAAGCTGCTGAAACTGACTTAATTCACTATTCCGATAATTTTCAAATGTAAACAAATGACTCCTCCGTTAATCTTAGTGGCTCTTAAATAACTTTTCATTCGTTGATAATTCTACAACTATTGCATGCAGATTAACTAAAGGCATTAAAACCTAATCGGAAAATAAGAATAACATAATTCAATCATTTTAAAGCAAAAAGGCACAATTTACCAACATTTATGAACAACAAAAAAAAAACTGAGCTCACAAGCCAAATAACAGAGTATATATATATATGTATGCTTTTTGGCACTCCCGATTGTAACCAAAACGAGAGGAAGTTTTTAAGTTATGCGAGATACATATGTACACTGCGAAAAAAAAATAGGACAGTTCTATATCTCCCGTTCTACTGGGCAGATTGACGAAAATAATTGCGTTCTTCATGTCTCGAAAGCGCGAATTAGGATATATATTAGATTTATATATAGTACTATTCTAACATAAGTATTTTGATACAAAATACAATTTTTTCTGAAATAACATACGATTTTTTTACATAATTCGATTCTACTCAAATTATACCTAAATATTAAATTTTGTAAAATCTGGTGAGAAATTTACGGAGAATTCAACAATTTATGTTGATCCTTTTTTTTCAGTTGCGCCAAGAATAGTTCACTTGGCGAACTGTTTAATATGTGGCAACCTATTTCCATTTCCCTTTTTACATCGTGCGTGACCGGAAAAATGTAACAATCGTTACTTCATTCAAATAATGATTTTTATATTATATTTTTAATTATAATTGTTGATATTATTTGGATAATTCTTATTTCGAATTTATTTTAATTGTTTAAAGTTCGTGGTTTCTTCGATAACTGCTTAAAAATTTCTATTACTCATGGAACTGAGTAGTTTAAATACAAGTTGCATCGTTATTATTTTTTTCTTCAAATAGTTTTCTTTACACTATATTTTCAGTCATAGTTATTATTTAGTAATTTTTAAATCTTTAAAATTTTATTAATTGTTTGTTGTTGGCATTGTCTCTTCAGATAATAGTTTTAAAATTTTATTTATTCATTTGAACTGAGCATTTTAAATATATTTATTAATATTAATTTTCGAATTTGATTTTTTATTTGAATTGCATTCTTTCGAGAATACTTTGTGACTACGATGCATTTGAAAACTACATATATTAAAGAGAAAATAAAGTAACCACAGTTTAAAACGTCTTTCAGCTTCCGTTCAGAAAAATGTACCTCTAGTACGTTGTATTATCAACAAGGGAAATGTACATACATTTATGAAGATTTCAATTTACTTCTTCAAACATAATCGGACCTAACATTGGTGGCAACAGTTTTGAAAAGTGAAATCGAGATTTAGAGGGATTAACGCAAAATCGCAAAATGAAAACAATAGTCCTTCAGGGACAAAGCCCCTTTAGATTAAAAAAAGTTAAAAATTAAAATATGATCATCAATTTAAAAAAAATAGCTTTTCATATAGTATAATAAATATTATTACATTTATTAATTCCAATTGGGAAAAAAATTCAATAATTAATTTCCGTAAAAATTTATTTGAAATTAAAGGTTAAAAATAGCTGTGGCCATTCACTGTAACAAAAATCCATAAACAAGATTTGGCGTTATTATCGCTGAAAAAAAAAGATGACAAATTTAAAAACGCGAAAATACGTAAATTCGTGTACATCTTAGAACATTTTGAATAAAAAACTCTAATTTTTTGTAGGTATGCTTAGAACTACACTTACCTTAAGATGATGGTAAAAATTCTATAGGTTATAATTAAAATCTTTTTCGAAAAATTTTTTTTGAAAAATTTATAAAAATTATTTTAAAATACAAATTTAAAAAATAAATCATGAAAAATGGGTGAATATTTTTTGGAATGAACCTAAATTTCGAAATGTGAAAGGAAGAATAAAAAAAGTTTAATAAATATATATCAAATTCAATTAACATTGAGGAGCTAAAATTTTGAGAGCTAATATTTTAAAAACTACTCGCGCGAATTTTACAAAACTTGGCAGCCTGGCAAAAATTGAGTCGCAGAATCGAAATATGTAAAATCATTTGAATGTTATTTGAAAAAAGTCCGATTTTGTGTCAAAATGCCTATGTTAGAATAGTGCGCACTATTCTAACATAGGCATAAATCTAATATATATAAGTCGCGCTTTCGAGACATGAAGAACGCAATTTGAATTTCGTCAATCGCCCCAGTAGAACGGGAGCTATAGAACTGTCTCATTTTTTTTTTTTTTATGCGCAGTGTACATACGTATACACTTCACGAAAAAAACTGCCTTCTGAATCATTTTAAACCCGTTTTTTAATCCGTCTTGAGAAAAAGAGACATTTGTTCTGTCCGTACGTACGGGTGTCACGCGAAAATAACATTCAGATGGATTAGAGAGACGTCAAAATGGATATTTTCGTTGAAATATAGAAATGTTTCGCGATTACAATACTTCCTTTACTTCGTACAAGCAAGTAAAAACAGACTTTTAAGTTGAATATATCCCTTGAAGCATTTATGCAAATTAACCATTATATATACCGAACATCTTGTGAGTTAACCCCTTAACTGCCGCGGGCGTATATATACGCCTTGCTCAGCCGATGCGTTAACTGCCCCAGATGCGCAGCCGTGAGTTAACTTGCGATATTTTCGGTTAGCCGGCCAAAGCAAATGATAGAGTTTGGAAGGACGTATATATACGCCTGGGGCAGTTAAGGCATCGGCTGAGCAAGGCGTATATATACGCCCGCGGCAGTTAAGGGGTTAATTTACACCGAATTGGAAATATTG